GTTAATTAAGCAAAGGTATTTGACTGTTTGGATCACAACAAACTGTGGCTAACTCTGAGAAGAATGGGAATCCCAGAACACTTGATTGTGCCTGTGCGAAACCTATATTTGGACCAGGAGGCAGTCGTCAGAACAGACCAAGGGAACACTGCATGGTTCAAAATCAGGAAGGGTATATGCCAGGGATGTGTCCTACCTTCATACCTTTTCAACCTGTATGCAGAACAGATTATCCGAGAGGCTGGCTCTATGAGGAGAAATGTGGGGTCAAGATTGGTGGAAGATCTATCAACAATCTGCATTATGCAGATGACCCAACCCTGCTTGCTGAAACTGAGGAGGACCTGAAGCGCTTGCTGCAGAGGATCATGGACTGCAGCCTTCAATATGGATTGACGCTCAATATCAAGAAGACAAAGATTCTCATCATTGGGCCAATTGGTAGCACCAGGATAGATGGTGAAGAGATTGAGATTGTACACAGCTTTAGTTTGCTTGGCTAGACAGACAACACTCTTAGCACCAGCAGACAGGAAATTAAAAGACATATTATGATGGGAAAGTCTGCTGTTAGGGACCTCTTCAAAGTACTGAAGAGCAATGACATCAGTCTGGAGACTAAGGTGCGTCTGATACAGGCCATGGTCTTTGAAATCACTTGTTATGCATCAGAGAGCTGGGCAATGACTAGGCAAGGTAGGAAAATTTGATGCCTTTGGGCTGTGGTGCTGGAGAAGAGTACCATGGACTGCTAAGAAAATGAACAGGTTTGTTTTTCCTGGAAAGGGTTAAACCAGGTTGCTCCTTGGAGGCAAGGATTCTGAAGCTTCGTCTGACATACTTTGGACATGTTGCATGGAGGGACCAGTCCTTGGAGAAGGATGTCATGCATGGGAGGGTGGAGAGACAGCGCAGGAGGGGAAGGCCCTCTGTGAGGTGAATTGATTCAGTGGCTGGTATAATGGGAGTAGGTGTGTCGGAGACAGTGAGATTGCTACAGGACAGAGCAGGGGTTAGGGCTGTTGTACATAGGGTCGCTAGAAGTTGCAGGCGACTTGATGGCACATAACAATGACAAATCACATTTGTAAGAAATAAGTCTATAAATCTTTACAGGAGGAAACTATTTGAATCAAATCTTATCATTAACAGCTCAAAATATAATTAACCACACTATTTGCTGTTGTTAGGTGCCGTTGACTATGTATGACTCATAGGGACCTTCTGAACAATAGCCCTGGACCCTGTCCAATCTAGTGCCATTCTCATCATCTCTGACACCCTTGAGATAATTGCTGCAGTCACTGTATCAATCCATCTCATTGAGGGTCTTTCCTTCTTTTGCTCACTTCTACCTTTCCAAGCCTGATGTCACTTTCTAAGAAATAGCCTCTTCTAGCAACATGCCTAAAATACATGAGATGAAGCTTTCCCATCTTTCCCTCTAAGGAAAACTCTGGCTACACCTTTCCCAAGACTTATCTGTGTATTTTTTTTTAAGTCCGTGGGATATTCAGTACTCTTCTCTAACACCACGACTCAAAAATATCAATTGTTCTTAAGTCATTCTTATTGTCTAGCTCTCAGATGCATAGCAAGTGAATGAAAAGAAGATTGCCTGAATAAGGCACAACTTAGTCTTAAAACTGATATTATTGTTCCTCAGTAATTTAGAGAGGTCCCTGGCAGTGGACTTGCCCAATGCAATACATCTCTTGATTTTCTGACTGCCAGTACCAATGGTGTTTATTGTGGATCCAAGTAAGATGAAATTGTTGACAGTTTCAATCTTTTCTCCATCTATCATGGCAGTGCTCATAAGTCCAGTGGTGAGGATTTTTGTCTTTGGGATATTTATATGCAATCCAGATCAAAAGTCTGTTGTCTTAATTAGGTATAGGGATAAAACTTGTATGCCTCAGAAAGGCAAGTAGCTGGATCCTAGAGATAGTATTAATTAATAAGGTGTATATATTAAAAAACAATATGCATAGTATAGTCAATAAACTTGAAAAATATTGCAAATCAAATTCAAATTAAGTTACTGAAGGTTGGTCCAGTAATTCTTGTGCAAATTATCTGGGAAGAATGTCAGAGAAACTAATTTGCTTTAATGCATGGAGTAATCTTTGGCTAAAACTAGTTCTACACAATGCATTCCAACTCCACAGACCAAATGAAAAGAAAGAAAGAAAAATTCTTTGGAATTAAACTTTGTAAATATAGTCCTGACTCTAAGCCAAAATCAACTCTCTAATATTTGCTAAAATAACCAAATTACAGGCAGCAGAGTGTGTTTGTGATATATTTACAGTGACTCCTACTTTTAACCTGGGCCATTTTAAAAAAAAATCCATTTTATTTTTAAGAAGAAAGTTAAATAATCAAAGAGGAACATTATTAACAGCTGCATGGGTATATGTGTGGTGGGGGCGGCGAGGATCTCAGAAGAACACAGCACGACCAGGCTTTCTTTAATTTCTATTCTTCACTCTTTAAGGGAGCTTTGGTGATGTGGCCTATAGGGAGTTTTGCTGCTCACCAAGAGAAGGTGCCTCTTTGGTGG